TGGTGACGAGAAATGAAAGCAGGTACCACTCAGGTATGTATGGTGACGAGAAATGAAAGCAGGTATCACTCAGGTATGTACGGTCTGCTGTTGAAGAGCATAATCTCTCTCTGTCTGTCTGTCTCTTTCTCTCTCTGTCTCTCTCTCTCTCTCTCCATTTCTATCTCTCTCTGTCCCCTCTCTCTTTCTTTTTCGTTCTCTCTCCCTCTCCCTCTTCCTTCCCTAAATCGCTAGGTCTATCTCTTTCTTTCCCTCTTCTTCTTCTTCTTCTTCTTCTTCTTCTTCTACGTCATCATCATCTTCTTCTTTCCCTATCCATCTATCTCTCTCTCTTTCTTACTCTTTGAAAATAAATGGAAGTATAACGATAAAATCCCGTATGACAAAAATATTCAGATCGTTTTTTCTTTATAGCACTCCCCTGTCGGGTGCACTCAACGGCCTACTTTCCATATTTCTGTAATGTTAAAGTAATGTATATATAACCACACCTTGGTTGATTCCGTACCTACATCTAACGTCGTCTGTGTGTAACTCAGGTCACCCATGCACCACACCCCGGCTGATTCTATGCCAAACATCTAACCTCGTCTGTATCTTCACATAACCTTGGATGCGCATACCGCCACAGCCGGAACTGCATTGGATTAGTCATACACGCGCCAAATAATCTCCGGAGAAATTTCCACCACGGGCAACATTTTTCCGCCCAAAATATTAAAACCCGCGCGAACCCGACTATGCGTATTTTTCAATAAAAACATTGAACAATAATATTTTACCGTATTATCACTAATCTGTGTTTTTGTAACGTTTGAAGCAAACGCGTCCCCTAGTTTAAGATCAATAGCACATGACCCAAGAGCATAAAAGGGATTTATATCTGCTCTTGATAAGATGCTTAACGTGACGTGTGATGTGCGGGCTGCAGTGAGAATTCGAAGAAGTCTCCGAATATTTCACGTATACGGCAGGAAACCAAACCGGCATGCCTCGCGGGCATAATGGTTTTCCGAAATAACAACCGCAAGCGGGGGAAATAAGCACAATTGTGGGTTAAATTTCGATAAAACGAGTTGTGTTCCACGAGTTGGGGGTAAAGTCTACGGGAAGAAAATTTTGTCCAGGATTTTTGGATTTTTAACTAGTTGAGAAACAATCCTATCATGTGAGAATAATTATTTGACGATACATTTAGTCCCATTAGTACTTACTTTTAATGTAAAAAAAAAGCAACAAAATTTGTAAAAGTATACACCAGAAAATTCGGGCCGTAGTCAATTTAACAACACTCATACATCTCACAATCTTAATTTTTTTTCTCGGTACTTGTTTTAGCGGTGAGCGCGGCAGCACAGCAGAGTCCTACGACACAGGCCCAGCGTCGACACCAGCGCAGGGTGACGAGAAATGAAAGCAGGTACCACTCAGGTATGTACGGTGACGAGAAATGAAAGCAGGTACCACTCAGGTATGTACGGCGACGAGAAATGAAAGCAGGTACCACTCAGGTATGTACGGTGACGAGAAATGAAAGCAGGTACCACTCAGGTATGTACGGCGACGAGAAATGAAAGCAGGTACCACTCAGGTATGTACGGTGACGAGAAATGAAAGCAGGTACCACTCAGGTATGTACGGTGACGAGAAATGAAAGCAGGTACCACTCAGGTATGTACGGTGACGAGAAATGAAAGCAGGTACC